AACACTATGCACAAGCTCAATACATGAATTCACTAGAGAAACACCACAGTTTACTGGATTGGTCAACAGACTTGCTTTCAGCACTTACTAAATGTCAGGAATTTGCTTGTGCTGGGAATGTAGTAAAGACAGACAAACCCCTACATTTATGCAGCTATTAGAGACAGATAATAAACGTGTAAGTACTATTATCAGATTCTGGCAAATATTATGTCTTGAAAATATAAGATAGGATAATGTGACTAAGATTAACTGCAGTAAGACAGGCAGAAAACATACAAGGTATTTGAGGATGGTTTCTCTGAAAAATTGGGATAATATGATGGCCAGCAGGGCCCAAATCATGGGTTCTGCAGGCCATAGAAGGCATCTAGAAGTTGTTCTCATCACAAAGGTGAGCCACCTGGGAGACTGAAAGTGCCAGAGTCACCAAGCCAGATTTACTTGAGGGCCAGATATAAGTATCATTATGATGGATTTGTAAAATGTAAAACTTCTACCCTGACTATAGTGGATGATAGCTTCTAGAGCATCATGTAAAATAAAGTTACAATAGATAATGTGATCCAGAAATGGATTTAGACTTGACGCATTTAAAAAAAAAATGTGATAAAAGTTGTAAAAAGAAACATACCTTAGTAATATTCATTAGACTGTAGCCTGTACAATATTTTGGGAAAGGAACTTTTTCCTTTTCAAAATTCAAGAAAAGTGATAACAAATAGAAATATTCTTCCTGGAACAGTTTCTTCCTCCAGGATTTTAGTATTTAGATATTGATATTTAATGCACTTATGTACAGAAAGTACCTGGCATGGTATAGGGTAAGGCATACAGAAAATAACTTAATACAATATAATTCCTTGTTGTCTTTCTTCCTTTCCCCTTCACACTGAAATGAACCAGAAGGTACCAGCATGGAATTCCTGAAGGATGAGTAAAAAAGTTGACAAAAGGAAAATGTAAGGAGACAACCTCTTCTAAATGAAAATGCATTGCATGGTTGACTAAACTTTTGATGATTCGCATGGTTTATTCTCCATTCTAAAGTTGTAACACTAGGAAAGGTCCTTTAAGCCAGTAGTTGACAGATTTTAAGTAAAAGAACCTTCAAAAATAAGAACGATTCCAAATTCAAAGATGCTGGATCAAGTGAACATTTTAATAAGGCTGTAACTGCAGTTTTCTGGCGCCACAGGGCAAGACAGTGTGAACTAATGCAACTTAATAGAAAAAGTATAATTAATTGTTCTCTCTCTTTCTCTCTCTTTTTTTTTTCTGGTTAATCTTGACTCAGACAAAATGAGAATTAAGGGTATAGTCTGGAGTCTCTGTTATAACAATTGTTCTCTTTTTGGTCTCTGGGAACCAGCAGAATATAGGAAGGTTAGTGGAAGGGAAAATGAAAAGTAAACTGTAGTAAAAATAAAATTTTCAAATAAACTTGAGGTCATGTAAAAGTCTAATCTTTGACCAACACACCTACCCCCCTGCCCTACATGGGTATATTTTCAGTGGTATGCACCTGAGCAATCTCAGCCTGCAACTCAGCTGCCTGATGCAGCCCCCAGCAGCCTAAGTCAGCTCTACAGAGGTGGCCCAGGCACAAAGGTCTCAGATCTCTCCACTCTGATCCAGAACAAACTGTGCAGACCTGATCACGGGCCTGAGGACACATTTTCTCTGGAGTTCTTCCAGACTTTTTAGAAGTACATTTGAATACAGGTACAAGAGTCTCCTCTCATTATGGACTAGGGTTCCATTTAAATCACACAGAGAACTCTCCTTTGGATCTGGAAAGGTCTAGAAGTATTAGCAGAGGGAAAAGGAGACTGAGTCTCTTCAGTTTGGGGTCTGTCTTGTCCAGATAGTGATGGCCCACATTCTAAAACATCCAGAGGTTAAAAAAACCAAAAAACTATAATAAAGAGGTAAAATTGAGACGAATGGTAAACATGAGAACCTTAGTTAAATTCCTGAGTTATCAAATAGGGCAGTGAAATGAGGCAGCCACAGTAAAAGTATAAAAAGTCCCACTGGAGAGAAAGGTCACAAAAAACGCAGCTGCAAGATCTTATCTATCTTTGGAAGCAGGAGAAACCCAAGGCCGTTGCTTGAGGACAGAGCCCTGGATTCCCTCGAGAGATAAAGGCAGGCAGAGCGAGCACCTTGCATTGTCTGGGTCAGCTCTTGCCAGTCCCAGGTGCTAGGAAGAGGCTGCTGGCTAGAATTTTGGACAATTTCTACCATGCAGACCAAGCAGGTCAGTCACTGTCCAGGCTGGGCATCCTCTCGGAGGGTCCTCCTTCAAAGACCCTCTGGGACTGGATTAAACACATGACTTTATGTAAGTGAAGTTAGTCTGCAGCATTTACATGTGGTAAAATTATATGAAAAGAAATGTTTCCTGTAAGAATGAAACATTCAATGTTTTCTATAAGAAAATAACTATGAGTCACATGAATACCCACAGGTAAACTATATGGTAGGACATGATAATCCCTGTCATTTTTATTTAACCAACAGTACAATTCAAAAGATGTCTCTGTGTATCCATTCTGATGTAGCTTGTGACCAAAAGTAATTTCTGAGAATAGTTTTAGGGCCACATCTTAATGATCTGAAGATTCCATTCCATTTCTATTAAATGATAAAATGTTGTGTTAGACAGTCTAAACAGGATTTTGTTCCCTGCAGGATTTGCCAGAATGTTTAATATGCTAATGTGCTTTGTGAATTTTCAGGAGGGGAAATCAAGTGTGCAGTGGGCTAAGATTGCTTTGATCATAGAACCTCAGGACAGGATGCTTGGCTTGACCAGAGAGCTGTATAATACAATTTGGAAATGATGTTTTCTGAATTCTTTGTTGCTCTACAACATATGAAAACCATCCTATGCACCCTGAGAAATTAGGACTATGAGGCTTAGAAAGGATTAAGTCTATGTTATTGAAACAAACAAAAAAAAAATACATAGGTTCCCCATCTATCAGGGCATAGACATTAAGTAGCTAATGAGTTAATCAACTGACAAGTCCTAGTTCAGTCATGTGTGTTCATCAGGAAAGATGGACTGAAATCAATCAAACACACTTGGCCAAGCAAAACAAGGTCTTCAGCAGCCGTGTAACTCCACTGCTTTCCCAAAGGAAATGTGCTTTAAGTCAAAGTCCCATGTGAGAGAATGCCTGCTAAGAATTAAAGCACCCTGCCAAAAATAATTTATACTAGGTAATTTACTGTGGAAATAAAATATCAAGCCCTTCCCACAGCCAAAAGTTCCATTAGAAAATGAAAAGTTCAGCCTCGGCAGCAATACAAGTGCTTGCCCTTTACGGTCCCGGCCAGCGCTCTTGCTCCGAGTTTCCTCGGTGCTGTGCTGGCTGCCAAGGAGGCAGGAAGGGACGAGGTCTGTAACTTGCCCAGAGACAGAATCTGGGAGCCAATCCTTGCCTGCATGAACACTGTGGAAATCACGGGCAGGCTCAACCGCTGATCACACCAGCACATGGTGCCAGCCTGGCAGTAACCTGTACTCTCTGCTCCCTGGATCGGTCTCTGCTGCCCACCTTTCTTTTCTAGTAAGCCAGGCAATGCCAGAGAGCAAGTGCTGGAGAACAGCACAGTGGACTTCCAGGTCATGCCTACTGCTGCCTGCTGCTCTAGAAAGGGACGGATGGGAGAGGATGAAAACATAGGGAAAAGGATCTCTAGCTTTCAAGACTCTGCTTGCTCCCGCGGTCCTAGATAATGTCCTCTGAAAGGTTTTACAGATGAGAGGGCAAAGCTATGCCAGATAAAGGTGTATTGAAGCAGAAAAGTGATGTTCTCTTCAGCCTCTTATATTAGGCTTCTGTATAATTAAAAGCTATACATACAAGAAGTCAGAAGAATAGAAATAGAAATGTTACCAGTGCTGTGCTTTATCGTAAGTCAACTATACTTCAACAAATCTGCTTTACAATGTACATGGTGCTTATCAATTAGGAAAGGTTACAGGCAATTTTAATTTCTTTCTTTTTTAAAGAGTTATTTAGTTATGGATACAAGAACTGGGGTATAGGCCAGAGGTGGGGTGTGGGGGTGAGAGGATTCACCAGAGACAGCGGGGAGCAGAACAGGCAGACTGACTAAAATACACTGCTGAGGGGAGCAGCGGGCGAGACAGGAGAGGTCTGCTGCGCCATGTGGGTCAGCTCCCTGGCCGGGGATTGAATTCGTGCTGCAGTGGCTGCGGATATCTTCATAGTGCTGAGACTTAACCCCTTGCATCAGCAGGGAGGCCCTTAATTTCTTTTTTCTGCTTGCCTGTTATTTTCCAAATTATCTTGACTGTCTATGTATTGCTTTCATACTAAAAAAGCATAAAAAATATTTTAAAATTCTTATAGGATTCAATTTTTTTGATGTTTATATACTTCTTTAAACTTTATCAAGTGTTTCAACATATTTAAGCCACAAAACAGCAGAAGGAAATATTATGGTTATGATTTCAGAGAGGGAGACACAGACCTGAGATATGATGAACTTGTCAATGTCTAAGGCTAGTAACTAACAGAACCAAAGTGAGATCCATGTTTCTGCTGACAAATTCCATGACTTTTATTTTCTATTTTTTTACCATTTGTCATTTCTATGATCAGCATATTTTACTGGCTCTATGAATCCCATAGGAAAATGCTTTGTGGAGAACAGAAGCAGTAGAGCTAGTATATAAGATTTAAGATAAATGAAAATTTCATTCAAACTCACTCTTGGTGAAGGAGAGAAATGTGAGAAACCAATGGGATGGGGACTGGAGACCCAGGAGGCCCAGGCAGAGGGCAAGGTCAACTTTTTCTCCAAGGTGCAGCATCATAGTTTTTGGCTGCATGTCAACCCCATTCAGAAAGGGAAAAGAAAACTTGATAAACATGGAATCAAAGCACTTAGGGAGAGAAAGTACAGATGGCAGCGAACAAAGAGCAGGAGGTATCCAGCACTAGCTTTGTGAGCGGTACCTTCATTCCCGCCGCAGCGGCAGGGCCACTGGGGTCCACAGCCTGGATGTGGCATGGCTTGCTTCCTCGCACCACGAAGCCCCAGCCGACAGCATCACCCACGATCTGGAGAGGAAAACCACAATTCGCCATCAGCAGACAGTTCCTGGCAAGTTGCCTGTCCTTCCAAGAGCAAGAACCAGCCCAGGATTAAGTGCACGCCACCCCATATCTCCTCTCCATTTCAGTGGGAAAAAAGCACTGGGCTCCAAGCTCTCTATGCAGGAATGTGGTGAAGAAACACCTGTTTGGCAGAAAGAAACTTCAGGGGGGGGGGGGAGGGGGCGGTCACTACTGAATTAGTAAATGGCAGATTGCCTCAGATCATAAAAACATGGCTGAAAATTTCTCCCCAGATGTATTTTCCATTTCTAGTATGTTCCTTCTCCCTGGATCCAATGATACCAAGTGTTGGTGATCTTGTGGCATCACCTAAGCCTAAGGTAATGATTTAAATTACTAATGATGGGAAATATAAAGAGTCTGGTCTTTCCTGAAATACAGTTTCCTCTACTAAGAAAAGAAAGTACATACTATTCACAATTTACAAGAAGATGCTGGTCAAAAAGTTTCTTGGAACCCAAGGGTGCCTTTTCCTACCAACTCTTGATTAGAAACGGCAGTGACAGTCTCTAGGAAGCTCCCAGGCACATCTTTAACAGCCCCCCCCCCCCAATGAAATACAGACGAGACATATTCACCGACAATCACCAGTAATGCAGGCATTTAATTTAAAAAAAAATATTCAAGCAGAAACAAAACAAGACAAATAGTGGATGGTTTCACTCATATCTAGAACATAAAGAAACAAAACAAAGGAGAAGACAAAACTAAATCAAAACAAACTCTAGAAATCTCATTGCAGAATTGAGGCAGTATACCAGAGTGGGAGAGGTGAGGAGCAGCAAGGAGAGGTGTTCAATGGGCTGTGGTGGAGGATTATGGAGGTGGGTGTGGGGTGGTAACATATATCTGAAGAGGTGGGAACCTGTATTTCTGAATTATACACAGTGTGGTAAACCAATGGTACCTTTATTAAAAAAGTTATTAAAAAAAATATGTATGGAGGGCCTCCCCTGGTGGCGCAGGCAGTTGAGCGCAGCGCTGTGAAGCTGTCTGCAGCCTCTGCAATGCCGATTTGATCCCGGCCGGCTGGCAAGTGTCCCGCATGGTGCGGCAGACCTCTCCTGTCTTGCCCGCTGCTCCCCTCAGCAGTGTATTTCGTCAGTCTGCCTGTTCTGTTCCCCACTCTGTCTCTGGTGAATACTCTCACCTTCCAGTGCATCTGGTCTGTACCCCGGTTCTTGTATAAATAAATAAAAATAAATCTTTTAAAAAATATGTATGGATAGATTCCCAGTGCTATGACTGGATCTAGTCTATTTTTTTTTAAAGATTTATTTATTTATGCATACAAGAACCGGGGTACAGGCCAGAGGTGCAGGGAGGTGAGAGGATTCACCAGAGACAGAGTGGGGAACCGAACAGGCAGATCAAGTGAAATACACTGCTGAGGGGAGCAGTGGGCAAGTCAGGAGAGGTCTGCTGCTCCATGTGGGTAGCTCCCTGGCCAGGCATTGAACTCATGCTGCAGTGGCTGTGGATAGCTTCATAGGTTGCATCTTAACCCCTTGCGCCACCAGGGAGGCCCTGAATCTATTCTATTTTAACTCTACAATTCTCAGAAGGTGAAGGAGCCCTTGACAAATGTTTGCAAGGAATGAAAGGTATCCACAACCCACACAGACTAAAAGAGAAGAGTTTGAAAGAGGACCTCAAGGCAGACGTGAGGACACTGAGAGGAGGAGACAGGAGGCAGGAGGAAGGAGCGTGAGTAGGTGAGATGTTGTTATGCAAGCACGTGGATTCTGTTGGAAAGAAGCCAGTGGGGCCAGCAGTGGAGGACGCTGGGGAACCTTCGAGAAGGGGTTGGTGGGGGAGCTGCTTGCACGCATGCACCACTCTCAGATCAGGGACTTATCTAACTCAAGCCACGGTAACAATGTCAAAAGCACTTATCGATTGTATGGTGATAGATAAAAGCCAGACTTCTGGTGACAAGCATAATGTAGCACATGCAGATGTGGCTATTTAAGTATGTACACCTGGACCCTGTGTAATGTTCTAAACCAACGTTACCTTAATCTAAAAAAAATAAAATAAAAACTATAACTGATGAGAATGGAAAAGCATTTTCCTTATAGAATACTCTAGCCAATTGTTTGCCTTCTCTTATCTTAAGACTCCCCTAATATCTTACAAATGATTTTTAAAATTAACCATAATGCTGAAGGAATTATCAGCATTATTGTATGACCACTTTCCTTAAAATATTAGGACAAGAGAAAAATGTAAATCTTTCTAAGGACACATCAAAAGGAATGAAAATGTTATATTAATAATACATAATATATATTAATAATAATAAAAAAAACCACATCAGGTCCTAATACACTTTAGTGCCTAAGAAAGTGTATTACTATAACTGTACTGAAAACAAAAAGGAAGTGAGGAAAAGGTTTTCGTTTCCTTCTCTCAGCTACACGCTGACCCCTGGACATGTGGACATGGCAGACAAGGAGAAGCCCAGGAGGAAAACCAACAGGGAGCCTACCGTGAATGTCTTCCTAGCATAGGGAGCCCCAGGTGTCAGGAGTTCCTCTGACGTGACAGGTCTCTTTAACACTGCAAAACAGAGTCAATGTCAAGGTGCAAACCCTTCTCAGCTCCCCATTCACTCTCTTGTAGATTTTTATGACTCTATCCTTGGAGCTAATCACCCAAAAGGACCAAAAAAAAAAAAATTAAGAAAAATACCCAACTGTCTATACAAAAGCATTAGATGACAGATTTGCCTCTTAAAGCTCTAGAACAGCAATGGCCATTCCTTATCTGCAGTAACTCATAGGATTTTCTTTTTCTCCAAAGAAATGGTATGTTCACAAGGGAAGTGGTCATAACTTGTCATCTTTTGTATCCCCAACATCTGGTGATGGGGACACAAAATGAACCAAGTCTTTTTGACACTGAACTGAGGTTGGACAGGGCCCTAAACAAATGGAGCGGGGCATTTCTTCATGGGTAAGGGAGAGAGGGAAGGTAGGGGTATCAATGGGTTGTAGGTTCCAGAAGGGTTGAAGAACAGATTGGGTTAAGGAAGGATTGTTTCAATATACAGGTTTATCAATGGTCCTTGCTCCTAAATTTTTCTCTGAAATGCAAAGGTCACAAGTCTCTGAGAATCGATTCTAGTTGGATTTGCATAGATCCTTCCTTGGGGGTGCTTCTTCCTTAGGGATGCTGGAACCTCATAGATCTTTTCCTCCATTGTGGTTTGAAGAAGTACCATCTCCCCCAATGTTGAGAGCATCAATGTGCTGCTCTAAGCCTCCTTCAGATGGAGAGGCTTCAGAAGCTGGGAGTAATAATGGCAGGGACTCTTGGTTGTCTTTAGGAATCAAGTCTGAACAGACCTACCTTGTCCAAGGTCATGACTTCCCCCAAGCAGCTAACACCTAATTACTGGTCAACATTTGGACATGGAGGCCTGGCCATACCCTAAGTCATTACAGTTCTGAAGGGGGCTGTAGCCTTCACTGAGACTGTATCACCGCCTGTTTCTCTCTCTGCCTGACCCTACTTCCTTCGTGTTCATTCAACAGTGGCTGACCCCAAGACCATGCTCTATCCAGCTTTCCACACGCTAGTCTCCCTCTGTCTTAGAATGCGCTTTCCAGGGAAGCCAGCCTGCACAACTGCCCAAGTTCCCACACTCAGAGTCAGGCCAGAGTCCCCACTCACCAGACTTAGGGTTGCAGAGCACAGGGGGGCTGCTGCTGAGGGTGGGGCTGCTGCTGAAGTAGCCACTGCTGCCACAGCTGCTCATGCTGCTCCTCCTCACTGCAGACACGATCTTGATCTCCTTGCTGGGGCTGACTGTGCGGGCAGAACACACAGTCACTAAGGGTGCTGGCTTTGGCTTCCTAGAGCACAGGGTTCTTAGCTGTGGGCACAGTCACATGTGCCAGGAAAAGCACTCCGACCCAGGTCAGAAAAGCAAGGATGGGCACTGTAGTCCTGTCACTCACTGACAGCACAACCTCTCTCCATCTCTCCAGATCACTGAGCCTTAGCTCCCCAACTGTTAGAGGGGAACAAAGAACTCTCATAGGATTAGTGCAGGAGTAGATCATGTAATGTATGTAAAATTCTAGTTACATAAAACGTTATTTCAAGAACTACAAAGCCTGTGCTGAGCAATCCCTGCTAGGATGTAAATTAAGTGCTGGCTAGACACTTAACAAATAGCAGTGATAGTAAATACCTCCTGGTTTAACATGAAATCATTAATCACTCGGAGCCATGATAGAAAGAGTTTAAAATACAGAGCACATATGCAAGCTTTGAAAGTGTATGCAAGGTAGTGGCTTCAATAATCTGATTGGATCCTCTTTGTCATGGAGTTAACTGCCCAGAAACAGCAACAACTTGGTGGCTGCTTTTAAAAAAAAGAAAATTATTTTTTAAAGATTTATTTTATTTATTTAAGCATACAAGAACTGGGGTATAGGCCAGAGGTACGGGGGATGAAAGGATTCACCAGAGACAGAATGGGGAGCAGAACAGGTGGATCGACTGAAATACACTGCTGAGGGGAGTAGGGGAGAGACATGTGGGTCAGTTCCCTGGCCGGGGATCGAACTCATGCTGCAGTGGCTAGAGATAGTTTGCTAGAGCTGAGACTTTAATCCCTGAGCCACCAGGGAGGTCCTACTTTTTTTTTTAAAACATACTTTTTGGTCATAAAAAAAGATTTACTAGAGAACAGAATTTCACAAAGGCGAGTTATCATTATGCCATCTCTCAGAAGACAAAAACACAGGAACAAACAGCGGAACTCACATACCGGACATAAAGCTGGTAGATTTCCGATTGTCATGGCCCTGCTTCCGCAGGCAGAAGGGGCTGTCGTGCGTCTCCTGGGATGAGGGAGATTTCTCATTGAGCAGCTCCATCAGCCTTCGCCTCCGACGGAAGTTCATTCTGAACTGGTAGAGAAGATTGCTGTCCACAAATGGGTGCTTGTTGGACACTGGGGAGACACAAGACATGATGATGTCTGGCACCCTGACCTTCGAGAGCTGCTGCCAGCCCAGCCAACAGGGGCAAAAGTCTCAAGAAAGAGTTTAGTCATCCTGATGCCTCATGAGCTTCCATCTGTCCACCCACAAATGGTCCAGAATCTTTTCATGTGTCATGCACTTTAAAAATTAGCTGATTCATTCCTCTGGGGGAACTTTTTTTTTTTCCCCTCTGGGAGGACTTTGCCTAAGCTCACCCCAAGTACCCTGCCCAGGGCTTGCTCCATCACAAAATGTCCATTCATTTTTCAGCTATTTTGAAATAACTGCAGACTCACAGAGTTGTAAAAAAACAAGAAAGAATGCAGAAGCCATATAATTATTTCATTCATGTGACATACCTGGAACAAGGAAATGTGTAGACAGAATAGATGGATGGTTATTAGGGGCTGGTGGGGTCTAGGAAGTTAGAGAAGAGTTAGCTTTAAATATGGGGTTCCTTTTTGAGGTGAGGAAAGGGGTCTAAAATTGACTGTGGGGTTGATTGCACACACCTGAGAACACACCAAATACCAAATCATATACTTTAAAATGAATGAACGTTATGGCACGGAATGGAAGCTACATCTTGATAAAGCTGTTAAAAAAAAACCCAGTAATAAATTATAACTTGAAAATATCTAGCTCTGTATACTTTTATAATCACCTACTGTTTTCTATTTGTACAGGGAACTACACAAAATATTGGCTTTCGTATCAATAAATCACAAAAGCATTCTGAAGCCAAACAAATTCCATAACAGATAAAAGCACTTTAAAATATTTTTCATTCAAGTGGCAATCTGGTTGCTGATTTAATCATATGTCTCCCCAGGCTTTAGCTACAAACCCAGAGTTTAATTTTTACCCAACTAATTTACAACTAATTCACACCCACTCTCCAATATTTTGTCTCTTCTGATCTAGACCATGTATAGCTAAGAGGGTAAACAGTCCATGTAGGATACACTCATGACAGATGTGAAGTCTTAACCAGCTCTCCAGGTCAAGTTTAGCAAGTACCCCATTGGAAGATATTTAAATCTCATAAGTTAAAGGAAAGCAAGTAATTAAAGAGTGAGTTATGACAAAGAAAATTTGGAGAAATAACTAGACTGAGAAAGTCAAAGGATAGTGATTGGTGTCTCTAAATCTTGAGACACCAGATTAGCTCCAAATCTGCCCTTTTCAGACTCCAATGCTATATAAGATCTTTATATTATATATTGTGACATAGATAATTTAAAAAATTTCCTTCTTTGCTCCTTGAGAATATTAATTTCTAAAGAGGAAGAAGAGGCAAGGCTTAAAGACTATGTTCAATATCTAAAGTTCTAGTTGTACTCTTATCAACAGCTATAATGGATGTTGACTTTTTTTTTACACATCTAATTAATAAATTTCTGGGACTTTCCAAGTCATCCCTTTTTAGATTCTCTAGGATTTGGCTTGGTATTAATAGGGAGACAAAATAGAAGGAGAAACATGCCAAAAAAGCTGAATCAATATAAATACAAGAGGCTCTATCGCTCATGATGTTGCTGATATTTGGTAAAAAGAAACAGATCTTTATTCACTGAATGCCCTTACTTTTCAGACAGCAGGAGGGAAATGTCATGTTGTCTACCAAATTAATAAAGTGACAAGGAACAGACACATTCTTTTTGTAGACAATGTAGCTATACATTTTTCCTTTATAAATGATTGGATTGGAATATTAGCAAACAAAGAAAAATTAAAAAGCCAATCATCTCAAAGGGGAAAAAATGGACTTATGCTGCACTCATACACGGTGTAATCCCTGCAAGTTCAGCTGGATATAAAATACATTGCAGGCTGCTTATCTGGCTGGTGGGAGGAAGGTCATGTACTTTCATCCATCCCTGAAATGTCAGCTCTCAAGTGACATCACCCAACAGGCATCAAGAGATAAGTGAACTGAATTCTGCAGCGAAGGGAAGGACAGTTGGAGGGCAGGGAATGTGTATCCACTAGTCCCTGGAGGGCACATCATCAAAAATTTTTAAGGAGCAGCCTTTGATTTGGGATCACATGAGCACTTTAGTAGAATATGAAAGAGGGCTTAAATAAAGTAAAACAAGAGGGGATAAGAACTAACACAAGGAGGAAGAAGATCAGCAAGGATGAGGCTCAGGAGGCCACCACTGGTGTCCAAGCTAAAATGTCTTTAAGCCTTAAAGACAGATGCTCAGTTGCTGTGGGATCAGCATCCTCCTCATCACTGCATTCCACAGCAGAGGTGTGTGCTCACCTCTTTATCTGCCTACAATGAGCAGGGCAGGGCTTTTTGTGGGCCATTGATGCAACATGGCATTCCATCCCACCTCTCACTCACTTCCTCTGGCTCTTTCTTATCTCCTACTGACCCCTAGATCTCTTCCTAAAAGGTGCACATACACTCACAAACTTTAAGAGCACTGACAAACTTGAAGGATAAATAGGTGGCAGATGTAATCCTTGGACTCAATGTTTCAAAAAGCAAATATAGGGGCCTCCCTGGTGGTGCAAGGGGGTAAGACATAGTGCTATGAAGCTATCTGCAGCTACTGCAGCACAAATTAGATCCCTGGCCAGGAAGGTGACCCACACAGCACAGCAGACCTCTCCTGTCTCGCCCGCTGCTCCCCTTAGCAGTGTATTTCAGTAGATCTACCTGTTCTGCTCCCCACTCTGTCTCTGGTGAATCCTCTCACCCCCTGCATCTCCAGCCTACACCCCAATTCTTATATGCATAAATAAATAAATCTTTAAAAAACGAGAACAAACAAAAAGCAAACATATTCTGCATGTGAAACTGCTGCAACTTCTCTGCCAACAACATAAATCTTTGAGTTGTTTCCCATGTCTGGGGATGACTGAGACTCTATTGGCTTCTGCTCCTGCCAGATCACAGGCCTACGGATTTCAATTATTTGATGTCATTTTGTGTTGCATATTACAAAAGCTGTCAAGACTAAAAAAAAAATCATTATCATGCTTTTTCATTGTGAGTTTGGTGGAGAACATGAGTTGAGACTTAACGATAAGAGAAGATGAAAGCTATTTTCAAAAAATATCTGGACCCACCTCAAAGCTAAAGAGATGCAGTAGTTTTTAAGAGCCCTGTTCCGTAAAGCAGCAAAAGTCCTTGGTTTAAGAACATTAGTGATTGTGTCTAAGTGCCTGTGCCACTTAAGCCAGGGTTAGGTGCTTGGGATACAAAGCACTTCAAGAGGCAGTAACAGTGTGAGTCAGAGAACTGAAATAATGACTTCCTGAGCCCTGACAACATTAAGAAGAGGCCATGAGAGCAGGAAATTGATTTTAGAAAATAAAGTCCTATTAACTGATGTTACTAACACGAAACATTTCACATTCACAAAGTTAGAACCCAATTAAATTTACTTAATTGATTGAGGGGAGCAGAAGGGATAGAAAAAAGAAGGAAAAAAAGGGTTTAGAGCAGATAGCAGAAAAGAGGAAATGAAAATAGAACATTGTGATGGTACAGGTGCCTGCTGTTTTTGTCTTGCTGCAGAAATGGAAAGGTAATAAGCAGAGAGAAGGCAAGAGTAGGGTTTATTCTTCTCTCTGCATCATTAAATAATAGCTGGGAGCATTCCAGAGACTAGCACCTCTATTGTTAGTGGGTACGCTTTTCAGAGATGAAATTGTTTATCGGAGACTAGATTGTATACAGGTGCAGAAAAGGCTAAAACCAAATTTATTTTGGCAAATGGAAGACCCTAGATACAATTCAGTGAAATAAATCTGTAACTCTATTCTAGATCTTTTGAAATTGTTGACATACATTCAAGGACTAATTAAAGCACTTTGGTGTTGATTTCCTTGACAGTATAGATTCAGCATCGAGCATGTGTAAGACGATGCTTAAGATGACCAATGAATAAGACCATAAAGTCATATGAAGCTCTACCAACTAAGGCATTGGAGGAGGATGATGTTGGTGATGACATTAGTACCAGGTGACATTGACTGAGTGACATGCCAGGCCAGGCTAAGTGCACTGACTGATTATATCATTTCATTCTCATACCTGCACTGTTAGAGAGTTGTTCCCATTTTAAAGGTAAGGATTACACAAGGCAAATTTATCCACCATCCCCTGGTTATTAACTAGATAATATGAGGCAGAAACACTGACAGATTAACTAGAACCCCGCCCCTTAATCACTTAAACTGTCTCATCCAAAGAGGCAATCGTGCGAAAGGACCAGGCCGATGAGCTTATAAACACAAGATCAGAGTTTGCTTTTCCCTCATTTATTCCTGTCTCCAGGTTACAGAAAGCAATTTGGCTGGGCACATTTTCCACAAAATTCTTCACCAGGACAAAAATGTTTATTACTTTAGCATTGCTTATACAAAGACCATAACGACAGCACAGGAAACAGCACTCTGGCCTCAGATGGCCCTGGATTGAACACCAGCTTCACTATTTACAAAGGTCCTTAACTACGTTGACCTTCAATTTTATTCCTCTGCAAAATGAATTGAATGAACAATGAAATAACAAGGGCAAAAGGTCTGTTAGAGTTTCTGGTCCATGGAGACTCTCAATTCATGACAGCCATATACGGGCTTCCCACTGAGGGCGCAGGCAGCCAGCACCATGGCACATCTATGTGAGGTCTGAGCCTTTTCAGACTTCACCTGTGTAGGGAAAGGGTGTAGCAACTCTAAGTGGTCTGGAGGACAAAGAGGCATCCCTCAGTAACCAGATAAATTCTGCAGGATCAGCAACACAAAGGACATCCTATACAATACAGCAGGTATCAAAATAAAATCTTACCCAGAACACTGGGTGTAAAAGTTCACCAAAATCTCAATCTCACTATCCTGGAAGGTAAGTGCATTACCCTGCTGCTGTCCTGTGCAGTAATTGTCAGGTATGCATTACAAGATTGAATAGACTAGGACCCTAGAACGGAGAGAAGCAGATGTTTAGAAA